CAAGATGTTGGGTCCGGAGGACCTAATTAGAAGCTCATGATGTTGAAGAATAGGAAATTACGCAAGGCCATCATGGAATACGACACCAAAATCTTGGAGCTGATGAGTGTTGTAGCCGCCAGCGAGCTCCATGAAGAGAGGCAAATTGAGGCCATTCCAAAGACAAGAAGATCGTAACTAGGTAACATTCTGAAATACTAAGACACTATTTTTTTTTTATTATTATTATTGAAGAAAAAGGAATAACCTTGACTAGGGGAGAGAGGTGGTAACATTAATTTTTTACTTCTCTTTTGATTTAATAAAAATTATTTTGAGGCTTATTTATTGTTAACTTGTCAATTCGGTTTTTTAATTTTGTCTTTATCTTTTATTTTATGTGAATTTAAATAGAAAAATGTCTATTACATTATGTAAAACTCTTAAGTTTAAAACTTTTTAATTTATTTATCACTATTATTACATAAATCATGTTAGTTCATTTTTAGTTTTTGCTTAATACATTATCAATTTTAATTGTAACAAATCATTAAAAAGCATTAAAAAGAAAGACATATTTTACAAGAAATAGTAAGTTTTAAAAATATAAAATTTATAAAATTTAATATCAAATTACTAAACTCTATTGTAATCTTAGATGATTAATTTAGTTTATAATTAAAGAAAAAAATTAAATATTTCATGATTTATATAAAAGTATTTGATATTAATTATAAAAGAAATTAAAAACAAACAAAATCAGTTTAATAATACAAATTATATATCAAGTCTTAATTTTTTTTTTTGATATTGAATTTCTCATTATTATTTCTCTCTTAATCTTAAAAGGCTCTCAAAATCTGATTTTAAATAAATATTTATAGTGATTAAGAAAACTCTGCTACAAAGAAATACACTCGTGCCAAAAACATAAACACTTTTGAATAAAATCATTGAAAATTGCTTAGGTTGTCAACACCATAATTTAGGGTCGATACCTCTGCTGCAAAGTATCCCACACAAATTCTTAATTTATAGTGTCGATACTTTCTATATAGTGTCGATACCCAGACCGTGTCGGACTTTTTGGATCATTTTGCAATTTTTTTAATGGGAAAATAGCACTTCTGGGCCTTTATCTTCTACTCTATGAGTTTAGGTCCC